GCATTATATTGTATGCCATTAGTGTTATTTGTTGTGTTTTGTGTTGTCCTCTCATTTGATCTATAATTTGCATGTACTACTAACTTTGTTTGTGTGTTTGTTGTTTAGTTCTACTGACATTATAATATTTAACATTCGTACTAATAACTAAAAAAAAATATGAAAAAAAAGACAATTTCTTCAATCACTATAATTTTGAATTACTGGTTGTTCAATTAGTTTATATAAGAGATACTATTTATCAAAACAAACTTTTTTTGGCTTGTACATTTATGCATCAAAGGTGTAGCTGATACAGTGTATTATTTTCTATCTTCTCAAAACAAATTTAAAACGTTTAAAATGGTAGTTGTCAAAAACTCTCAATTCCTGGGATTGTGACCTGATGTTAATTTTTTACAATCTGTAAAATATTTCCACCTTCCTTCTTCATCTATCGCAAGATGACTACAAAAATAACAATTCAGTTACAAACATGCACACATTATGCAAATTGTAAATGTATATGTCCATTATGTTAAATGCACGAAGTAATTTAATTTGTAACAAAATATATAGCTTTTATAAATGCATGTTGACTGGGTTTATGTGCATGAAAGATGGGTCACCTTGGTAGCCGCGGCACAGCACATGTAAACACTGTCAATTTTCATGTTAAATGTTTTGTATAGGATTTGGATGTGTTATGATGATAGCATTTTAAAATATGAAAAATACCATAGTTTAACACAAGTGATATCATTAAGGCATGAATGCCGCTACATACACGTAGGACTGCTTTTCAATAAATTGCAATTTGCGTAATTGTTTCTGCTTTCACTACAGTACAATTGCATGTTAGCATACATTTCTAGTGCGTTTGGAATATTCAAATCTAAATTTGATTCAGTATTATTTTATTATTTCTTCATTTTAATTCTGTAATGTGAATTGCAATGTTTGAAAAGTACAATAATTAATAAAAGGAAATATCGATCCAATATAGCAAATTTATATTTAGTTAATAAGACATTCAATGTTTTATAAAAGTGACATCTTTTATATACTAGATATCCCACACAAACTTGACAATTGCCATCTGTTGTCATTTCACACAACTGAAAATTTGTTTGTTTTTTCGCTTCAGTTGTAGTAATATCCTGTATTGTAAACCAAACGACTCATAGTTATTTTGTACATGTAAGAGAGAACCAGTGTTGCAGTGCTCATGCATGTGCATCATCATGGCATGCTGCTCAGAATATGTCATTGATACATACTTGCTTTGGGTGTACTTTGGATGATATTGTATTTTTTTGTGCATGTTTTAATCTTGCAGAGACAGAATTCTGAAGCGAAATCACCAGATGCGGTGGGTAACACACAATATTGCACTTTTACTTTACTTTACATGGTGAAAGTATCCATCAAGTAGTCTAAAATAAAAAAACTTCACATATTGTGTGAAATTGCTGCAAAGACAAAAAAACAAATTCATATATCTTTAATTAAAAATCTTTTTTGTCTCCACAGACGTGCTTATTTTAAAAAAACTCAATAAACTGAACACCTAAATGACTTTTCTCTACCTGTATTAGTTAGGACATGTTTTGTGGTAATACTTCCATTACTTCCATGTAGAATCTCTATGTAAAGTAGATAGTCACTAAATAAGCTGTGTAATTCATGCTGTACATGGGTATGTAAAGCAGTTTTATCATTTAGATGCCAGCCTTTATGTTAATTGATTTACTTTAGGCTCTGTTTGCTTTAATAGACTGCCACTATTGTCAGTACATTGTCTTTAACTACGTCTCACATGTACAGATCACATTCAGGTCTTGTGAGATTAAGCTGATATACTCCTGTTACAGACTAGCTGCTCTTCGGAAAGGTCAAAATGCGCAGACCTGATTAGTTTCTGGTTGAAATTCATGTGTATTAATGACCTAATTTGCATATTTATTCAATTTTTAACTTTACTACCAATATCTCAAACACTCATCAAATTCAATGAAATTTAGTACATAGATGCTCAGGGATAAACATACATACATGTTCATACATGTATACATGTTCAGTAAATACCTAATTTGCCTAAATTAACCAATTCAAGTATCATAATGACATGTTCTCAATCTCTGCCTTTAAATGTAATCTCAACAATGGTAGGCATTCCTAGGTGACAGTTGATAGTACAACATTCTAAAATTATTAAGTAATAATTTCTCAATTTTTCACAAAATTAGCTATGTTATAATTTACCCACAATCCTTTGCTTGAGAATCAAGTGATTGCTAATTTTTCAAACATTTATATAGCCTGATAGAAAGTGGTGAATTTATACCTGTTTATAACATATAACCACATGTAGCTATGACTTATAATGAACAAGATGGTTGATTTGATGACACACCATCAAAAAATAGTATGAAGATTTTACATGTTTTGTTTTTTTAACAATCATAATATTATATTACTTATTAATTTATTTGAGAGTTAAAGCTGGTTGCTAGGATACCACCAATGGATGTGATTAACTACACCTTTAATTTGTAGTTTGTTTTCTAAATAAGGAATATATAAGGACTTTAATATGGACATGTGATATTTTTGTATAAATGTATATTTATAAACTAAAAGTTGGATTTCTGAGAAATACTTATTCGTGCTGTCATCGGTAACTGATAGGGATAGGGTGAAAGTTTACTATGATGCTGTATGTACAAACAGATAATGGTCACTCATTGTATGGAAGACTCTATGCATGTAAATAATAGACATTTCTAAAATACACATGCTTTTCTAAATCTGATACTTGCTTAAATAATACATGTACTTACTATTTAAGATAATTTTCTAATGGTGGTGGTGGTGGTGGTGGCTGTGGTTGATTAATGTAATGCCTTATAACAATACATTGGGTATGTTAATTAACATGAAGCTTGCTGGGTACTTTCATTAATGCAGTGTATGCATGTACATTTCATTGAAAATATGATGAAGATATATTCTTTATATTTTGTAAACTACTATGAACTAAATTCATGAAAAAATCAATGTGACCCCTGCCTAGAATTCTCACCGTGTTCTATGCCTAGAATTTTCTCTGATCTCTGCCTAGAATTTTCACTGTGACTCCTGCATAGAATTCTCTCTGATCTCTGTCTAGAATTTTCACTGTGACCCCTGCCTAGAATTCTCACTGTGTCCTCTGCCTAGAATTCTCACCGTGTCCTCTGCCTAGAATTCTCACCGTGTCGTGTCCTCTGCCTAGAATTCTCACCGTGTCCTCTGCCTAGAATTCTCACCGTGTCCTCTGCCTAGAATTCTCACCGTGTCCTCTGCCTAGAATTCTCTCTGATCTCTGCCTAGAATTTTCACTGTGACCCCTGCCTAGAATTCTCACTGTGAGCCCTGCCTAGAATTTTCTCTATGAAATCTGACTAGAATTCTCACTGTGACAAAATTCTCCAATATTTTCACAAAATTTTGTGAGTGGTTATATATATATATATATATATATATATATATAGATAGATAGATATATATATACTTTGCAAAGTAATTTGATCCAAAGAGTCTGTTGCCTTAATTTTTAATTTCTCTATTTCAACTAATGACCTTCTCTTTTGCTGCCAAATCTAATCACCTACAGCGTAATGGCCATTTATTTATTTTTCCTTCTAATGTGCTTAGTGTCTAAATTATTTTATGAATGACACATTTTGGATCATTTGATTTGATCTCTTTCAAATTGCAGTTTGTTTTTAAAAACTACAAATTTGAGTTATTTTGATTTTTGCATTATAAATTGCATGCCATTCCAAAAATATAAGATTAGATGAAAGTTACAAGTTACCATAAGAATACGCCAAATATTTGTTCACAATAGTTGACCCTACAGTGTATAATAATGTTATGTGACAAAACCGTGTTGCTGAACAAAAATGTTATTTAGTTTCTTCAAAAATCATTAACACATTAAAGGTGATGTCATGATGGTCGTAATAATTTAAATAAACTAGAATTATCAAAAATATATTGGAACCCAATATTTGTTTACTAGGAAATACATGGGAAACCTCCAGCCAGGCTTCCCCCTTTGAATTTACACCCAACTACATTGTCTACACACAGAGAAAGAGTAAGTTGCATGGTTAAAAAAAATTATGATTTCTCTTCATGTTTTGACTACTTTGGCTTTTATTCATCAATAATAATCACTGATTGAATTGAATTGAGGGTTGAATGCTACTACTCACTAATAGTTTGTGTTTCTATACAAAGTTTGATACATACTTGTCACTGCTGACTCCTTAACTTACTGCGTATGATTTACTTGTACTACTTGCTGACTCCTTAACTTACTGCGTATGATTTACTT